TTTGTGAACAAATCACCTGTCACCTACACCCCTGCATGGGTGACTCACCTTCCAGAGAAAGTGCTTTGCTCACCTAAGCAAGTCTGCCTGGAAAATGACGAAGGTACCTATCAAATGCAGTCCACGGGGCCAACCAACTACTGCACCGGGTCCAGACACACTCTACCTCTCACCTCCAGCCTGAAGTCAAGTGTGGAGCTGCCACTCCAGGCCTGCTGGTTTCATTTTCATCTGAACATGATGCTTGACATCCGGTGATCTATTTTTTCTAAAACTGAGTTCACTTTAGAAATGACTCTGTGACTATCAAGACAGCTTCCCCAGGAGAAAACAAAATGTTATTTAAAGGGAACATCAGCCTGATGGGAGACTATATTTTTGTTTTGTATTAAAAAAGGAGAAAAAGCCCTGGCCGGTTTGGCTCAGCAGTTAGAGTGTCTGCCTGCGACTCAGAGAGACCCGGGTTCAGTTCCCACTAAGGGCACATATCTTTGTTGCAGTTTGTCCCCGGCCCTGGTTGGGTCATGCGGGTGGCAGCCACTCGATGTGTACCTTTCACATGGATGTTTCTCTCTCTCTCTCTCTCTCTTTTCCTCCCCCCCTCCACTCTATCTGAACAAAGGGTAAAAAATGTCCTCGGGTGAGGATAAAATAATAATAATAATAATAATAATAAAAAGGAGAAAAAAAGCGCAACAATTTAGAATGTAATGTGAAACATCCCGCCCTGGGTGATTTAAAGGGAACTCTCCCAAACTCTGATTACAGATCCAGGGCCCCCAGATATGGTACCAGTGAAAAAGGGATGACAAAGACATATTTATAAGAGGGAAGAGTGGTGAGCTGGGGGTGCCACGTGGTGGTGGGAACCCTACCCCACAGAACCAAAATGTATTTCCTAGTCCCCAGAACACAGAGGAACAAGTCCTTATCGACTTATCTTCTACACAGTAGTCCTTTTTCACCTACAGAGTTAAAGTGAGGGCCCACTCCACCACATGGAGGACATGAGAAAGCTCTAGAAAGGCCCAGCTCTGCCTCTGGCTTAGAGTCCAGGGAGGGCCGAGGGCACCCATGGTTTAGAATCACCAACTCTGACTGGGTGGAGCATGGGTCTTTTTAGGCTCATTGAGAGGTTGGCAAGGGCAGGATTTAGTGTAAGACAAGGACACCTTGACAGCTAAAAACTCTTGACAGAAGAAATGTCCCCCTGGAGTTCCAACTGAGAAAATGATTCGGCTCTGTCAGGCAGTCTGACCCGTCCTGACATCATCTTACAGAAAACAGGTCAATGTGGTAATTGGCAATACTACTGCTATTACTACTGCTGCTATCACCATTTACAGCCAAACACTGAGCTCAGCACTTAACAGATAGCCTCTCATTTTCTACTCAAAACAACCCCATGAAGTGTTTCTGATTCCATTTACAGATGGGGCACCTGATGCTTAGAGAAGTGAAGTGATTTGCCTGAGGTCACACAGATAGTGGCAGACCTGGACCTGACCCAGATCTGTCTGACCTGACGGCCTAAACCCCCACATTTGACATGGACACACCATGGACAGGCTCTACTGCTCTGGATACATCACTTCAGCACTCTGCCTTAATTTCTGCATCTGTGAAATGGGGCTGAGCAGACCTGTCCATAGGATGTGCTATTCCTCTTTCAGCCTTTTAATAATAATTATTATGAATAATTGATATCGATGAATAATTGTTAATGGCATATTAATATTAATTAATACTTGTTAACATAAATAGATAAGTAAAGAAGTTACTCTGGTTTAGTTACATTCAAAACTGACATGTTTTTTGGGAAAAAACAATTTATCCTTTCACAAGTAGGTTAGTAGAAAAAGCATTGAACTAGATGTCAAGAATCGTGGGTATAGATTCTGGGCATGACACTGGTTTCCTCTCCTCATATAGGCTCCACTTTCCTGACCTTTGTCCTTGTCTTTCTTTATATGAATATTGTGAGGAAAACACAAAAAAATAGCTACTAAGAACCATAATTCTTGATGCCAAATAATTTCAAGGGATTTATGTCAGGAGGACAAGGGATTAAAGGATATAAAATAGCAAGAAGGGAAGAGAATCATTTAAACTAAAATACAAAGAAGGGTGCACAGGCCACTGAGGAAAAATGACTTTTCTCTGCATTGTCACTCAGGTAGTAAGACAAACCCACAACTAAGGACCCCTATCCAACACACTTCAATGTCTCGCTCAGCTCAACTGAAATGTTCTACTACATAATTTGCCCTGTGTTTGGCCTTCCATTTCTAATCTAGTGCTTTCGACATTTCAGTCAGCGTCACCAAGCGCATGCAAAGCTTTCACACATGCATCACTCTGAGTGCTCGCCTTCTCCCTTGAAGATGCTCACCCCCACTCCTTTCCCTTCCTAGGGATCTTGGCCATGCAGAGTCCCCCAAATCCACCGACATGGAAGCGACCCCCTCCCCACTAATTTCACATCGGTGCCATCAAAAGTGCCCATAATGCTCAGATGTTTCCAGTTTAACTGAAATACTAAAATGGGGCAAACAGGAAGCATCAGACACAACTGCGGTAGTGACTTATTAATCATGAAAGCAGAATTTTAGTTGCATTTTAACCTTTTGCCAGGAAAAAAAAAACAACAGCTTTGAGATGATGGAAGCCGTTGATACAAATATGCTCCCTATATGTGTATCAAGCTGACTTTTACTTTTAATTTAGGACTGAATTTGGTTTTAAGATTTCTTAACTATCTACCCAGAAAGAACACCCATAAGTCAACCAACATGAATCTGTCAGCTCTTCATCACTGCCGGCAGGCCTGGTAGGAAAACTCATGTGCTGTCCATTGAGACAGGAAAAAAATAGGAAATTCAGAGTGACTTCACAGGCCAAAGTGATAAGACATTATTGAAGGTGCCAACAATGAAGAAAACAACCCGGGAGGAAGCTTTACCTCATTCATATCTCTACAGATCTCTTACCAGACCCTGGCCAAGATGAACTGTTATCACGCACCAAAAAAATCACGACAGTTGCCTGGAATTGGACAACCAATCAGGGCGAGCTTGCTTCTCAAACATTAAATGATATACAGACACTCCAAGAATATCACAAAGAAGTCAGTGTTCTACAGGAGAACCAAAATGAGGAAGCAAACCTCCATCTGTTGAGGCGAAACAGCCAACCAGACATTTTTGTTTAATAGATGAAGGCTCATTTGGCAAAGTCTCTTGTCTGTGGTGCCACTCCCACAAATTCTAACAGACAATACCAGGGGCAAAAAACCCCCTTCAAAACTGCCCCTTATATTCTGACAACAGAAGATGACCTAAAGTTTGGCAATTTATTGCTGTCTGATTTCACAAAAGTGCTAGGACATATACCTGGATATATATTTCTAAAATTAAAGTCAGAGACTATTACTTTTATTTTGAGACCTTCTGAGAAGTTCACCACACCCTTCAAAGTAAGTGAGGATGTCCTAAAGGTGTCTGAAAAACTCAGGGGTCTGGCATTGTTACACCAAAGGAATGGACTTTGACATCACTTAAAAAACACCAAGAATAAATCCAAACACATCATAAGCATGCCAACCACCTGTTCAACTGTCCACCTGTCCTCTCATGTTAAGAGCATAATACCACACCAAACACTTCTCCCTCCTTTCTGCATCTAAGTCCCAGAATGTGGTCCTGGTCTAGGGTAAAGGGTCTGGGGAAGATTCCAGTGGCCTAGACTTGAGTCCTCACCATGAGTCCTAGCTACTAGGCTTTAGGCAAGATACATACCACCCAGCCACCCTCATCAGGTGCCTTACCTATAAAACAAGATAATACTATCTATCTTATTACATTCGTCTGAAGGAAAAAGGAGGTTACAGGTAAGAAGATACTAAGCAAAAAACATATCACCAATGTTAAGATACTATCTGTCTCTAATCTTTCAGAACGACCATGTTTCTAGTCAAGGGGTTTTCAACATTTTTCCTGGAATAAACTTCACACTACTCTTTTGCATTATGCCCCACCTCTGGTCATGTCATTTCACTTGCTTTTAGAGTTCCTAATCAAGTCACTGGTGTTCACTGTCTCCATTTAACAAAAACTGATTTCTGTTATCTTTACTCCATTCATCCTGTCCCCCACCCATACTCATTCCCCAGTCCATCCTTTAGGACTGAAAGCAACATTTTAACTTGAATAGGGAAGGTAGCGCTTTTTCTGGTTACCCAGCACCAAAGAAGCTCCTGGGCAGGTGGGACTACTCTGCACTGTACAAGTGGTCTCTTTCTTCCTGGTGCCCAGTGGCTGCAGGTTGCCAGGGACCACAATGGGCTTCCAAGATGGAAATACTATATTTGAGCCGACAGATAAAGTCCCGAGTGGAGCGGCCAGTATTACCTAGGAGTCAGGTAAAGCAGGATGCTGCTGCGAGTGGCCAGCATGCTCCGCTGAAAGCTAAGGGCAGGCTCTGCTCCTTCTCTCCGCCTGGGGTGTATGACCGCAGAACTTCCCTGGGAAGGCCAGAGGGTTTCACTGACAGGGCAGGTGGGAGGGCACACAGACAGGGAGCAGTCGAGCATTAGACATCTTCCGCCCCGCGCCGAGGAGACCCCCCATCCTACGGAGCACCCGGGGAACCAGGTAGGAGGGGCAGGCCTGGCGGTACCAGCAACTGAGCACGGGGGAATCGGGATGTAGGGGAAAGGGAAGCAGGGCGCCCCGCGCGCGCTTCGGGCGAGCGTGTCGCCTGCGGGGTGCGGGACGAGCACGGCGTGCGACCTTGGCCCTGGCATCGTGCGTGAGAAGCACCGGCGATGAGACACTAGGGACAAGGGCCCCCACGCGAGTGGGCTCTTCCGATCGGACGCGCCGCTGACCCCCACTATTCTGGGGCGGCGAGCCAGGCCTCATCCTGATCCCGGGCTGAGGGGGCGACCCCATTCCCGGTGCTCCCCGCTCCGAGCCCTGGGGCCCGGCCCAGTCACCTACCGGCCGAGCGCCGATCTCCCCAAGCAGCCACTGTCGCGCTTCCCTCGCCCACGATCTCCCGCCGCCGGTTGCCGACCGCGGCGCTCTAGGCCCACGGTCGCCCCGCCCCACCTTTCGCCCCGCCCCAGCCTCGGGCTCCACCCCCTGATCGCTGCCCCGGCCACCCCCGGGGCCACGCCTATCCCGGCGGCGGCAAATTTGCCTGGGTTCGCGCCTCATAGCTTTGGCCGCACCTCGACCTTTGGCCCCGCCCACTTCCCCAATCTAACCAATGAACTGACGCGTCTTGGCTAGTCCTGGCGTACCGCCCTTTATCAACGATTGGTTAACGAGGCCTCGTTTCCAGAAATGGGCACTATTTCCGGACAATGTTTATAATGAAGACCTCGATGGGCGGATGGATTGACACGAGCGGAGGCGGCCGAAGTGTGGTCTAACCACTCATGCGCGTTCGGCTTCTGGCAGTTTTTTTACGGGTTGCGTTCTGCAAGAGATTACGGGAAGTAAGAGTGAGTGTGCGCATGCGTGGGTACTCCCAGCCTCGGACTTCGGTTACCTTGGAGACAGCGAGGCGCTCTCCCAGCTTGGTCAAGTTCTGCTTCCTCCTTGCTCAAGGCCTTGATGGCTAAGGCAGGTCGGGTCGGGGTATGTGTGTGGGGGGTGTGGTGGTGGTGGTGGTTATAAACATTTTTATTGAGCACTTACTCTGTGCTCAGCGCTGTAGAATCTCTGAGCACTAGTAAGACAGGTTCTAGTTCCTACCTCCGAGAAGCTTGGAGAGCCAAGGGCCTACACAGGTCAGACCTGTGTGTTGCAACCCAAGTCTGATGAGAACCGGTGGATGGCATGGTGTAACCCTTTTCCACAGCCAGAGAAGCAACGTGGTGCAAGGGCTGCGCGAAGCATCTCCTCGGTGGGTTTACAGGTTACAGAGCCAGAAAGAAGACTATAACTTGACCTATGTAAAAAAAGGACCTGAAATCTGATTATGCAAGATTCTTTTTCTTTTCTTTTATTTAGTTTTTGCAATTTTTATTAATTTATTTTTGCTACAGGTGTCCCCCCCCCCCCCCCCCAACACACACACACACCCTCCTCTCTATCCCGCCTTCCCCGACAACAGTGCTTCTTTCTGAATGCATTGTTGGGGATGGGAGATGGGGTAGTACGGATATTCTTCTTTTCTAATATTTGCTTATCTGTATTTTCATTGAGCTTGTATTTTATTTGTAATGAAGAAAAAAAATCCCAAACTTTAAAAGTTTGCAAAATGAAAAAGATATGCTCTTACCTGGGCACCCTACCTACCCCCATCAGTGGTCCACAGCAGGCAGGTATGGTAACTGGCTCTGGTAGTTAGGTCCCATCCAAAGCTGTTTTGGGAATAAGGATCACTTCATCGCTGGAAGTGTTGGAGCAAAGACCTGCTCAGGACCACTTTTCAGACAGTCCTTGGTAGTTCAAAGTCTATTTCTGGTCATCTGCACCCAACAGACCATCTCCCTTGTCGCAGAGTAGGGAAGACCACTCATTTAGGCAGGGGTCAAAAACTCACAAACTAGGGGCCTCACCAACTCACTCATGCCATAAATATCCTTTGTTTGGCTGGCCCATTGTTTTTTGAAATTTGAATTTGAAGGATTTAGGGCAGAGCCTGCTGTTTCTCACAGCCCCTACCTCTTTGGTCTTACACAAACCATTTAACCTTATGTCATCTGTCTGGCCTCTGAAACATTCCAGATTTGGAGCTTAACTGTCTCTGGTGCATAATCTGGCTGTTTGCAAGATGGTGGGCAAGAGAGAAGCTGGTGGCCCCTAAAGCTCCTTCCAACCCCTGAGTTTTTCATTTCAGTGACTCAGGGAGAGGAGGTGCTTGGCCAGATGGTTACAGGTTGGTATCGGCAAGCCTGAATTCAGGGCTTGCCTCTCTCACCACCTGTTTGCCTCTGGGCATACCACTTCTCAGGAAAGATGTGGGCACAGGCCCAGAGTCTGCAGATGCTTCCTGGCTTGCCTTTTCCTTTTCCTTCTATCACTATTCCTTTTTTAGAATACTCCGAACCCACATACTTAACCCAGGTTCCCAGGTCCATGCCTGCTCACATCCACCCATTCAAGATTAACTGTCTTTAAATCTATCCATTAACCCTAATGTGTATTAGTGGGACCTGCAACTCACAAGAAGAGATTTCACAGCAGGCTGCAGAGGAGGAACAAACCACTACAGATTAGTGAGAAAGGTAATTCGGTATAAGAAAGGTCTCAATTTCAGCTATTTTTCTCAGGCCTTTCCAAGCCCACTATGTATGGGGTGAGGTGAGAAACAGCATGCTTACAACTTCTGGAAGGAGAGCCACAGGGCAAAATTACTTTCTCCCAGTCCAGCCAGTTAAGTTACTTCTAGCCCTGAGTCACTTGTGCAGCCTCAGCTCTGCTTTATATAAAAATAAATCGACATTTACAGGGTGACTCACACCTGGAGCAGTGAGCCAGGTTCTCAGTACTCAAGGATTTCCACATCCCACCTCAAGGGTTCAAGTCTGGAAATAGAAGGGTAAGACTGTGTCCTTCCCAAAAGAATGGAGGCTTCTGTTTGTTTGTTTTTATCCTCACCCAAGGACATTTTTCCATTTTTTGTTCAGATAGAGTGGGAGGGAGTGAGAGGGAGAGAGAAAGAGAGAAACATTGACGTGAAAGGGACACATCGAGTGGCTGCCACCCGCACGACCAAACTAGGGCCCGGGACAGACTGCAGCCAAGGTACGTGCCCTTAGCGGGAACTGAACCCGGGTCTCTCCGGACTGCAGGCCAGCGCTCTAACCACTGAGCCAAATCGGCCAGGGCAGCTTCTGTTTTTTGAGAGCTTACAAAAAATAATAAAGCAGACACTTTTAAGTGCTTTGTGTGCATAATGTCTGAATAGTCACTCTAGTCCAGGGTTTCCTAACCTGGCACTATTGACATGGATTGGAGATATATATATATATATATATATATATATATACACACACACATATATATGTATATATATATTTATTTATTCTTTTGGTGTGTGTTGGGTGGGGGCTGTCATATACATTGTAGGATGGTTAAGAGCATCCCTGGCCTCTGCTCACTAGATGCCAATAACATCACTCCCCCAAACCTAGTTGTGACAACAAAAAATGTCTCTAGACATTACCAAATGTCCCCAAGGGAGCAAAATTTCCCCCAGTTGAGAACCCTTGCAGTCTAACTCCATAGAGTAGGTACTATTATTATCATCCCCACTTCACAGGATGAGCAAACTGGGGCTCAGAGAGAAGTAATTTGTCAAAGGTCATTTTCCTCTATTAGAAGACCTGGGATTCAAACCCGATGTGACCCCAGGGCCCCTGCTCTCCTGCATATAGGACTCTCCAAAGGGACTTTGGACTTCAAGGAGCCAGTTGCCCATCGGTTCTGTAGTAGAGTGATGAAGAGGGAATGAATTTTGTGCATCAGTGAGAGAATGCTATCCTTGGATCATTTTTTCCTTTTCTTTTGCTTTGGAAGAAAGGAAATTATATTCTGGTTTTTACTGCCTTAGTCACCACAGTTCATGGTATCCAGCCATGTTCAGTGAAAAACTGGCTAGTGAATCATCTGAGTGTCTGTGGACTTCAGGCCCCAAATTCCTGTGAGATCCTGAAGTTGCACTTGAGAAGAACTCAGACGTGAGGCTGAGTAAGATCAGAGATGACTGGGGGCTGGGTAGATGTTCCTGAAGAAGAGGCAGTTTTACTTTCCCTATCAGGGGCCTCCCTGAGGCTGCAGCTGTGATACTATTACTGCCCTCCCTGGCCTGTACCTGCCCCATTGCTGCCACCGTGTCTAGAGTTATATGGAGGGGTCAGGGAGGCAGGAGAGGAAAGGGATGCAGGCAGTGGTGTGCTGGAGCTCTCTTCCTACTCTGTAATCAGTGACAGTTTCATGTTGGTACCTTGAAATTGGAAATGATGGGAGTATCTATACCATAGAAATTGGCAAACAGTATAAACCAGGGCTACCCACCCTCAACCTGGTTGTTAAACATTTACCAGCACCCCACTGCATACATATTCTGGACCCTGACTGCCCACCTCCAGTTCTGCCCCCCACTATGGAGGGGAGACATGGTAAACCACAGAGCTATTAGAGAAGGGGGGCATGTGATGTGGGTGAGGAGAAGAGGTGCCAATCTCTGTAAAGGGTGGAGTTGCCAGGGTAGGGGGTGGTCTCTGTGGGGGCACTTGGCAAAAATTACCTTACCCAAACCAGACCAGATCCTGGACATACCTTTCTGAGATCCCTCCCAACTTTGAAGCTTTCTTAGGGACCTTTGGGTTAAGACTTGACTCAAATCCTTCTCAATTTCTGATTGGTTATCCCTTCCTAACTCATCTCCCTGCCTCCAGTCTTCTCTGCGTGCCATCCTCAACCCTTCTGGTGGATTTAATCCTCTGAGAGACCACTTGGATGATGTGTTCTGCTCCCAATGTCCCCACAACTCCTCTCCATTAGTTTCTTCCTTTCAATCTCCAAGTGTGATCACATCTTTGCAGCCTAAAAATAGACAAATAAAGGAAAAAATCCTTCCTATGTCCTGGCTTTTCCTTACACTGTTGGCCCAACCATTTCCCCCTCTCAACTCCCACACTTCTTGGGCCTCCTTGTGTCTGTTTCATTTGCCACTTGTATTACCCCTTATGATCTGGCGTCTGCCCACGACTCCTTCTCTCCATGGACATCCACTCATTGCCTCCTAGTCAGATGACCTCATCTCAGCTGTCATCTGCAGTCAGCCACAAATGTGATGCTCAGAGCACCTATTATATCAGGCCCTGGGGAGGGAGTGTGGAACCTCCAGACCAGTCCCTGCCCTTAGGCAGCTTCCCATGTGGTGGGTGGGTAGACCTTGAAGGAGTGACTACTGCTGAGGACTTAAGTCATTCCAAGTGATGAGGGTGATGAGAGTATGGATAGTGTGTACTGTATTAGGCAGGGCCCAACCAGGGAAGCAGAACTCACTCTGAGTGTTTAGACATGGAATTTTATTGTTGTTAATCCTCACCCAAGGCT